CATGCATAGCAGCTGCAGGTCCTGTGTTTGCTGCTCCCCTAGAGAGCGGGGAGGCAGAGGCTGGGATGGGTGACACTGCCGCCTCGTCAAGGCTGAGCCATCTTTCTCGCTGTCTTCCCCAGGCCTAGAAGGGGCTTCCATGCAGGCATTGTCTGTTCCCTATCGGAGACCAAGGGGGATAAGCTTCTGCCACTCTGAACTCAGGGTCAACACATGACACCCCCTCCATTTCCTGTGCCCTCTCTGATACCCAGTGCTGTCTCGGTCAGCACTCCCCACAGACGCGCAGTGTTCAAGGTCAGAAGAAGGAGGAGACAGATGAGATGAGTAAGTTCCTGGGCAGAGTCCTACGGGGCTGCTCACCTGGATAAGACCTGCAGGCTTCCTTTGGTTTGGTTCTGTAATGACGGGAATGAAAGCCCATGGTGCAGTGAGGGAAGCTGGGGTGAGGCTGGGTCTGCACCACCAGTGCCCTGTCCCTTCTCGAAGCCACACTCAGGGACAGCAGCTGACCACTCCCCTATGCCCGTGCACGGCACAGCACAGACAGAAGCCACGCCTGTGATGAGAAGACACGTGTATTGGGGAGGAATGCATATCTTTGTAGAAAGGAGCCATTGTCACATAAAAGATGTGGGGACAAAAGACTGAGCGGGTTTTCTCTGCAGAAACTGGCGTTTTTCTGAGAGAAAGCTTTTCCCACTGGGATAGCCTTGAGAAGCATGCTGTGTGTGAGGAGAGGAGGCACCTCTTTGAAGAAGGCAGTTCCTGGGGCAGTGGACAGGCCGACCCCAGTCACCTGTCACCCTCGGTCGGTGCTGGCCTGGGCTGGAGTGGCACGCAGGCTCCCTGGGTGGGGAGACCCAGTTGCTGTCCCTGTCTCTGAGCCACCTGCTCTTGACAGGATGGTTGAGGCCCTGAGGGGTGGCCTGGTGACCAAAGGCTGTGTCTGTGCCCGCTCTGCTTTGCTGCGTGTAGGAAGGACCCCTGTGGTGGCAGGAACACTCCCGCAGCGGGGCCTGGCGTTCCACCGTGTACCAGTCTATCTCTGAGATGCCACGTCCAGGTGGAAGCCCCAGGTGGTCCAACATGATCTTGCCCACAACCGTTATGACCGCCTGGGCCTCGGCGTCTCTCCTCTCCATGCACGTCCTGCCCATGCGTGATCCCTGGTCCCGGGCGGTGGCTGATGCAGGCCTGCCTCCTGGAAGGGTGTCTCTCCGCCCTGTGCCCTTTTTGATGGGGTTAGGACACTGCACGAATGGCCTTGTTCTGTGTTCCTTGTGGCTTTCTGGGGGTGCCTGTCCCTTCTTTGTCAGGAATGGTGAGGACTCGTCCCCCAGGGTGTCTCCTGTTTCCCTATCCCAGGCAGGGTGGGCCGTGCCGTGGGCCCAGGAGGCCCTTGGTCCTGCTGCTCTCGCTTCCCGCTGCCCTGGTCTGGGCCTCCTGCAGGCCTTTGGAGGCATGGTGTGTCTGATCCAATGAGACATCTTTCTGAGGAAGGTACTTCCTGGGGCAATGGACGTTCCATCTTGAGATACTTGTTACCCTTAGCGCTTGCTGGCGGGGGCTGGCTGGCATCACTGGCTCCCTGGGCGGGGGGACCCAATTGGTGTCCTTCTCACTGATCCACCTGCTCTTGACAGAACAGGAGAGGTCCCTGGGGGTGGCTTGTTTTATAAAGGCCGGGTCTATCACCACTCTCTTTTTCTCTTGGCTGGAGGGACCCCTGTGAAGGCAAGAACTCCTACACAGCAGGCCCTGGGCTTCCTTTTTGGGCTCATGTACCTCTGAGGGACCAGGTTGGCGCCGAAGCCCCAGTTTGTCTATCAGGATCTTTGCCACTGCAGTTGTGACTGCCTGGGCCTCCGCGTCTCTCCTCTCCGCGATCATTCTCTCGAGGCGTGATCCGTGGCTCCGAGCCGTGGCCGATGCGGGCCTGCCTTTCGCCAGGGGATCTTCCCACTCTGAGCCTTTTTGGCTGGGGCTGAACCACGGCAGAGAGGGCCTCGTCCTCTGTTTGATGTGGCCTTCTGGGGGTGCCTGTCCCTCCTCTGGCAGGAGTGGCGGGGCCTTGTCCCCCAGGCTGTCTTCCGTCTCCCTGTCCCAGGCAGGGCGGCTCATCCCGCAGGCAATAGTGACCCTTTTCTTTGGAGCCCTTGGTTCCTGTTCTTCAGGTTTGGGCCTCTTGCAGGCCCCTCTCTTGTCAGGGGGACTGAACGTCTTGCTCTCACTCTTCCGCAGGGCTTTCCCTTTTGGGGTCCTGGCCTCCTGCTGCTCCTGGTTGCTCCTTGCATTTGATAGGCGGTCACGAAGCCCCAGAGAAGCTGGCGTGGTGCTACTGGGTGAGCCCTGGGAAGCTACCCAAGAGGCCTGAGAAGCCAAGATGTCTGTGGTGGGGAGCAGTACAGGGCTGCGGTCTTGAGGGAGGACGCTGGCAACATGCCGCGGGCGACGTTTCTCCGGGTCTACTTCCACTTGGACCTCCAGGTCATGGCTGTCCTGTGCTCTCAGGCCTGGCTGTCCTACGCTGAGGTCAACCGAAGTTCTCGAGGGTTGAGGATGTCTGCTGGTGCCCTGAGACTGTAGACTGAGACTCACATCCAGGCCTTCCACGTTGGTTGTCATACTGGCTCCCACGGTGACATCCCAAGCACGCGGCTTTCCTTTGGTTTGCAGCCTCTGTCTGATCTCTTCGGCTCTTTTCGGCTGGACTCCTCTACTGCTCTTCTGCTCCTCTGGGCTGTGGCAGAAATCCAATAAGGTCGCTCTCCGTCTCTCACGCTGGGGCTCACTCCTGGCCGTTTCTGCACGCGGCCTCCGCTCTGGGCTGCCTCTCTCAGCTTTTTGGACAGTCCTACTTAGCTGGATTCTGCCCAAGGGACTGTGAGTGACACGCTCAGTGGGAGGCAGCCTGGTCTCTTGTCTGCTCTCAGGGGCCTCTGAGAACCCACAGGGGCCAGCAGGTGGCCTTGCTGTGGGGACCCTCTGAACGTCCTCATATTCAGATGAAGGGTCGAAGAGAAGCCAGTCCCTGATGTGGCAGGACTGTTTCGCCTTCTCCTCTCTTGGCCCTTTGTCAGGAGGGTTTTCCAGGTGACGGGCAACGTCGTCTCTCATGTTAAGCCCAGTCCCACTGGCGGCAGAGCTGGGGAAGGTGGGCTGTGGAGGAGACGAAGCTTGATTTGCATTGGGAGTGACCTGTGCGCTCTCGTGGGCCTTCTGCTGTATACACCACCCGTACCTTGCGTCGAAGCCTTTCAAGTGTGTTTCCAGCAAAAATCGCGTTAGGGGATTGAGGAAGGAGAGCTTCCTGGATGTGTTCACACCGGGGGTCTGACGCTTTGAGGCTACTGGTTTTCTAGGTTTTGCGGGGATGCTGGACTTGGGCAAAGAATGACTGGCGGCAACAAGCCAGGACCGGCGCACTCTCACAGGGATCCTGCCTTCTCTGATCTGCCCTAACGTCCGGTTCAAGTGGACATTCAGGGTTTTCTTGAGATGCTTCTTATCTGGGCTCTTGGGTTTGTAATTTACACAGTCACACTCCCGAGGGATGACGGGGTCACACTTGGACTCCTCCTCGTCTTCCTCTAGGACTTTCACTGAGGTTCTTTGTGGATCCCAGGGCAGGAACTCTTGGTCATCCTCCTCTTTCCCTAGATCCTTTTTTGCTGCGGCTGGTTTGCCCTTTACTGCACCCTTGCTCGAGGGTCTCCTAGAACACGTGAATCCCGTCTTCTGCACTTCGGGGTCACCTGCAGGTGCCGAGGGCGGGGAAGGCCGGGAGAAGCCACGCGTGTCCATTGCCTGGCAGTGGCAGACCTGTGGGGATTTGCCCTGAGGCTGTGTCTGATCCTGAGACGCTTCAAATTTGCAGGGGGGCCCATCCTGTTCATCCGCGAGAAGCCTCACTTGGCTCTGTTGCTCCGGCCGCTCCTGGAGATCAGAGCTGATGGAATCCCCGGGCAAGGTGGAGGCAGTCCCGCCAGGCTGACAGACCTGAAAGCCCCGAGGAAAGTGGGGAACGGACTGGCTGGCAACTTCCTGGGGGTTTTTGAAAAAAGAAAGTAAAGCCTTCCTCTGTTTCAGTCTCTTCTGCAAGGGCCATTCCATTTGCTGACTCTCAGTCGGGTTGAAAGACTGAGCCTTCCTCTCCTGGGACGGAGAGCAGGCTGTTTTATAGACCCCAGTCTGGGGTGGAGATGCATTTGGTAGGTTTGGGAGAGAGGATGGGAGGGGGGCCTGGGTCTGGATCTGACCCAGAGGTAGGGGCAAGCTTTGAGTCAGAGGTTGGGGTTGAGCCAAAGGATAAGGGGACAAGGGCTTCGCCTGGGAAAGCTGTGGAGGTAGACTGGCCTGAGGCTGAACTGGAGAGGAACTAGAGCCCCTGTTGAACAGAATCGAGGGAACTAGTGCATGGGAGGACCTTCTAGGGGCCCAGGCCGTAGCCACTAGTGACTCGCTGTGCAGAGAGGGGAGGCCCCAGAAGAGCTGGCTGCATTTCTTCTCTAAGTGGTCCCCAAAGACCTGGGGGGGAGAGAGCCGCGGAGGCCCCTGCAGCTGTGTGCATTTGTGCCGTGGTCTCCAGAAGAGCTGTGGGGCGCTGCTGGCCTGCTTGCTGCTCAGGGACCTCAAGAGAGCCCCCAGAGAACTCAGGAGGCAGCCTGGGCGCATCTGGCCCAGCAGGGACCCCGTCTTCTCTTCTGCCTTCAGCATCAGGCCTGCTCTCCTGGAGATGAGGATTTCTAGCAGCCTCTGGCCATCAGGGCTGATGAAAGGAGGGCCGCCAGCCTCTGCCTGCCCGCGTGCGGCGTCTCCCCAGGCCGAGGCCTCTGGTGGGTGCTGGGAAAGAGGCTCTTGCCGGCCTCTGCCATGTGGTGAGGTGAACAGGAGCAAGGCCTTGGCGGTCGGCCACCACCAGGAGAAGAATGCAATGGAGCCGCTTATGCGGTCCAAGCCCGAGGCGGCCGTGCCGAGAGAGGCCAGGCAGGAGTTACCTGGAGGGGCGCTGTCTGGGACAGGGCCTGCCGGGGTGCTCTTCACGTCGGACTGGACTTGTTGAGGTCCTTCTGACGGGCGGGAGGCCGGGGGAGGAGGGTGCTGGGTCAGCAGAGCCGGGGAAGGCAGTGGGGACGAGGTGACAGGAGAAGCATCTTCCTCGGGCTCCCCATGAGGCTGGTGGCCCCCAGCAGGGGCTGGATTGCGTTCATCTCCCTGGAGGTCCCGACACAGAAGGTGAGAAGCGCTGTCGTCAGGGAGCTTTCCCAGGTGGCTGCAGGAGACAGGAGGCACACGATGCAGCCGGGAGCAGATGGGACCGGGAGCCCTGACCTGCCAGGCGGGGATGGATGCCCGCAGCCCGGGGCCCCTGCACTGCCCCACGCCCTGACTTCATGGAGCTCTGGCTCTCCCTCACCCCCGGGGTACACTCACATCCCATGTCTGTCTGTGGTCTCCCCCTCCCTGGGTGGGACGCTCCAGGCCCTGGAGTCACGTAATGGGTTCTGGCCGGATAAGGACATGGACCACAGCAGAAACCTCCTCACCTTTGCAGAAGGGAAACGAGCCCTCGAGCCTCCTTCAGTTTCTCCAAGCAGTCTCTGCAGGCTGGAAGCCAGGAGACTGGGTTAGGGTGCAGAAGGGAGGGGTCTGGGATTCTTCCAGGAGGCCGAGTGGAATATCTCTTTGGGGGGACCCTGGGAGACTAGACTCTGAAGCCCAAGTGTTAGTGTCCAGCCCACATGACCGCCCTGGGAGTGCCAGCATGGCACACGGAGGAAGCGTTTAGCATTTAGGAAGTGCTTCTCCATCCATCACCCTCTGCAGTCCTCACCACTCACTGTGCAGGAGAAAGGGGAGAGGGATCATCTCAAAGTGGAACTGGCCTCATGGAAATGAAACACCTGTCCACAGCTGGACTCCAGATGCAGGCACTGGTTAGCCAGTTTCACTTCCGTCTTCTCAGTTTTATTCTGAAATTCTTTTTAGAACCTGAGAAGTTTCCTGGTTCTGATTTGCTTCTCAGAAGCCTCCCCACCGACATGCTCAAATATGGATCGGGTGCCTCATGGACTGGAGAGATCAAGTCACCTGTGGGGGCCCCAGGTGGAAGGGAAGGGCCTTACCTTTCAGAGCTCTGCTCTTCTTCCTGCTGTTGGTCCTTCTCCTGGTCTGCACTTGACCCTGAGAGACAAGGAAGAAAGGGGTTGGGACCCAGTTCTCTCTCTTTCCCCTAGACAAGCTAGTGCTCAGGAATAATGCGACTTACTCCATTTTGCTGAGGCTGCTCTTTGTTGTTTCATTTTATTCACATTAAAAATTATTTGAGAGGCCGGTGTTGTGGCGTAGATGGTTAAGCCACCGTCCACGATGCTGGCATCCCTTATGGGTGATGGTTCAAAACCTGGCTTCTCCACTTCTGATCCACCTTCCTGCTAATGCACCTGGTAAAGTAGCAGAAGACGGCCCAAGTGCCTGGACCCCCTGAACCCAACTGGGAGACATGGAACCAGGCTAGGCTCCTGGCTCTGGCTTGGCAGAGCCCTGGCTGTTGTGGCCATCTGAGTAGTGAACCAATGGATGGGAGATCTCTCTGTCTCTACCCCTTTCTCTGAAATTCTCTTTTCCAAATAAAACAAATTTTTTAAAAGAGGTCTTCAATCCCCTGGTTCACTCCCCAAATGACAGCAACAGCTGGAGCTGAGCCAATCCAAAGCCAGGAGCAAGGAGCTTCTTCCAGGTTTCCCAAGTGGGTGCTGGGTCCCAAGGACTTAGGCCATCTTCTGCTGCTTTCCCAGGCCATAGCAGAGAGCTATGGCCTTCCAATTGGAGCAGCTGGGACTGGAACCAGTGCCCATATGAGATGTTGGCACTACGGCTGGGGCTTTAACCTGCTGCACCACAGCGCTGGCCCCTAAAGTAAATCTTTAAAAGATTATTGGAGAGGCAGAAGGACAGAGGTCCCATCTGCTATTTTACTCCCTGAATGGTTGCAATGGCGCAGCCCAAGCCAAACTGGGAGCCAAGCACTCAATCCTGGTCTCCTCCATGGGTGACATGTACCCATCCACTCAAGCCATCATCAATGTCTTTCCAGGGTCTGCATTAACAGGGAGCTGGAATTGGAGTACAGTTGGGGCTGGAACCTAGGCACTCTGCTGTGCGATGAGGGTCTCCCAGTTGGTGGCTTAACCATCAGGCCAAATTCCCACCTCCTTACTAATATTCAAAGCAGGTGAACGATTTCTTATTCTTTGAAAAGTGAGGAGAGGTGTTCTATGTGAAATCCACCATGGGTGTCGCCGGTCACTGTTCCTGTGCTGAGGAGACAGACTCAGTTCTGCAGTGCACCTGAGCTGCCACGGAGGAGAAGCCTGCTGCCCGAGGCCGGGGTGACTCCAGGCTCTGAAAGGAGCCTCTCACTTCTCAGCACAGCCCTGTGGTCAGCCCAGCCTGGATGAAAAGCTTGGCCTCGAGGCACCTATCCCAAGAAGGCCACTGATGAACCAGGGCTCAGAGCCCATCACGAGGGGTCTCAATTCTCTGAGTCATGGGGACGTCAGCTGCTGAGTCGGGGTCCGATTTTGCCCTGGTGCTCTCCAGCACACCCACAGGGATGACCTGAGAGCGTCACACAGAAATCCTAGTTCCAGCCTCACTCCTGCCGTGAAGGATGGTTCTGTCCTGCGCTTTCCCATCTCAGGAGTCTCTCTGGTTAAGTTGGAATCATGGAAACAACAGTGAAGGAAGAGAAAAACCCTTGTCTGTTGGGTTCTGGCCAAGGGCTCCTTACCTTCCTGATGGTCCCCTTTTTCTTAGGAGGTCGTGAGGATGGAGTGCTGTGGACCAGAAACAGGAAGAAGAGCCCCAGTCCAAACAGTAAGAGAAGGACAAGGTCTGTGCTCCAGGAAGCACAGCTGGATCTCTGCCACGGGACAGGGGCACTCTGCGGAGGAAGGAGCTGATGCTCCATCAGACGAATCTCACTGTCGCCCGCAGGCAACTGAGCCCTTGGAGTTCCCTTCGGCAGAATGGAGTAAGACCCGGGCCGCATCACAAAGGGCTCCAGAGCAGGGGAGGGGCAGGGAGAGGAAGAGCCTGACTGCGGCCCCTCCCCCACCTCCTGGCCCAGTGGATCCCTCCACTCCTCTGCGCTTTCTGGAAACCTCCATCCTAATCTACTTGCTTAAACTGTCACAGATCATTGTCAATTTCCTAGTCTTTCACTCCGGAGCAAGGATGCCACCTGGTTCCTTTTGTCCTTAGAAATCTGGGCTTGAACGCACCCAAATTCACAGCTGTTGAATGTCAGAAATATCAGGAATGTTGAGTTACTTCGTAGAGGAATTTGCTCTCAGAATTCTCTCTCCTCATAACTTTCTTTTTTTAAAAAACTTTCATCCACCCAGAATTAGAACCTTAAACTTATTTAAAGTGTAATCAGACACAAGGATTCATACTATTTATTATTTAAAAGTCACAAGATTAAATAATCTCATATTGTGTTCACTGTTTTCATCAATGTGATCCTGTTCATATTGCAAGGTTTTTCCAGGGAAGAGAAAATCAATCAGTTGGAGCTTATGTGCCTGATGCTCTCCCCCTGTAAAACTGCTCTGTATATTTGCCCATCATAGTGTTAATTATGATAAGCCAATCATTTACAATGAGTCTTTACTCCCTGTTGTATCAAGACAACTGGATCTTCCCTGTGATCACTTTTTTAAAATATTTTTTTAATTACTTATTGAGAGGTAGAGTCAGAAAGAAAGGCCTTTCATCCTCTGGCTCACTCCTCAAATGGCCACAGTGGCTGGAGCTGGGCTAATTCGAAGCCAGGAGCCAGGAACTTCCTCTAGGTCTCCCACACAGGTATAGGGGCCCAAGGACTTGGGCCATCTTCTACTGCTTTCCCAGGCCACAGCAGAGAGCTGGATCGGAAGAGTAAAGTAGCCTGGACTAGAACCAGCACCCATATGGGATGCCGGCACCACAGACGGAGGCTTAGCCCATTGTGCCACAGTGCTGGCCCTATGACCAATATTTATGACTCTGCAACAACACTTGAAAAGTCATGGTGACCAGAATTATTATTATTACTGCATTATAATTGGTATTACAACAACTAACATTTACTCAGCAGTTAGCAAATGCTGGGTCCTTTTCTAATTGCTTCACAAGTATCAACTCAATTCTCCCTCACCACACCCTGGGAGCCAGGTGCTGTGTTAATTTCAGTGAACCTCTCCACTCTCCAGAGTTTTTCATTTTACTGCAAAAGGCACACATGCTACTTAGAGTAAATCACAGGGTGCAGGGGTGTGTAAACCGTGGGTGGGTTTGCCAAGTGCCCCATGGATGCCACTTGCTCCCTCTCCATGCCTATTCCATTCCTGCTTTCCAGGTGCAACCAAGGCCAGCAGTCTTAAGTCTTCAGCCCATGCACACTGCAGCACAGGCCAGCACACAGCAGAAGGCTCTCAGAGTTGTCCTGTTTCATGGGATGGGAAAAAAGCAGTTCTGAGAGTTCCAGTGACTCACCGTGATCACACAGCAGGCAAGTGGAAGAGCTGGCACTTATGTGATTGCCTGTGCTGCCTCTACAAGTCATACCACCCTTGAACAAAAGGAGTGAGAGTAATAAGAGCAAGAAAAAAAACAGCAGTGCATCCTGCACACAATCATGGTGGGTGTTTAGTCTTTGCCAAAGCCCCACCATATGCTCTGATTATTTGCACAGCCCTGTCGCCTCTCATGTCCACATGAGAGAACTGAGGAAGCCGCTGGCCCAGGTCACACAGCTGCAGGCAGTGGCAAAGGCAGAGGCAGGATCAGGCTCAGCCCTCACCCCAGGAAGGAAGTTGGGATGGGAGAGGGCAGGCTGGGTCCCAAGTCCACAGGCAGTTTGGCTGCTGTCCCTCTTCTTGAATTCAACTGGGCATTTTGCACTGCCTCAAACTGGCTGCATCACATACTTTGTGCAAATGGATCCTCCCCAGGCTCACCATGGCTTGGCCTTGAGGGTCCAGTGCCCTCCTCTGCTCTCAGCTTTCCCAGCCATGCTCTCTGAGACTGTGGAGAAGCACAGTAGGCTTCAGCACTCTATGCTGTCTCTCAGAACCCTGGGCCGTGGCTGGTACACACCAAAGGTGTACTAAGTATGTGAAGGGATACAGGATGCTAACTGTGAAGAAACAGGGATCAGTGTGCTGGAGTGGGCACCTGGCTCAATGGACTTGGATGCCAGGGAGGCACTGAGGCTGGCTGGGGAGTATGGCAGGGCAGGAGATCTTGCCTGGGGATGCAGGACCTGGCAGGGAAGAGGGGGCAGGCAAGGGCCACAGACATTTCATCTGAGGTAGAGGAAGGGCCTCAAAATTGACGCAATGAATGTTGCTTACAATCAATATGCATTTTTTTTTTTTGACAGGCAGAGTGGATAGTGTGAGAGAGAGAGACAGAGAGAAAGGTCCTCCTTTTGCCGTTGGTTCACCCTCCAATGGCCGCTGCTGCCGGCGTGCTGCGGCCGGCGCATCGCGTTGATCTGAAGCCAGGAGCCAGGTGCTTCCTCCTGGTCTCCCATGCGGGTACAGCACTTGGGCCATCCTCCACTGCACTCCCGGCCATAGCAGAGAGCTGGCCTGGAAGAGGGGCAACCGGGACAGAATCTGGCACCCCAACCGGGACTAGAACCCGGTGTGCCGGCGCCGCAAGGCGGAGAATTAGCCTGTTGAGCCACGGTGCCGGCCTCAATATGCATTTTTTTAAAACAACACACAAACAAAAGCAAACTACTAGAAGTATTGCTCTGAAAGACCAAAAAAAAAAAAAATCTTCTATGCTCGTTGATTGGAAGAATTAATGCCATCAAAAGGTCCATACTACCCAAGGCAATTTATAGATTCAATGCAATCCCAATCAAAATACCAATGGCATTCTTCTCAGATCTAGAAAAATGATGCTAAAATTCATATGGAAACACAAGAGACCCTGAGTAGCTAAAGCAATCTTAATGACAAAAACAAAGTCAGAGGCATCACAATATCAGATTTCAAGACACACCACAGGGCAGTTACAATCCAAACAGCCTGGTACTGGCACTAAAATAGACATGCAGACCAATGGAACAGAATAGAAACTCCAGAAATCAATCTAACATCTAAAGCCAAGGAATCTCTGATAAATAAACTGCAATCAATCCTTAAGAAAGGACAGTCTCTTCAACAAATGGTGCTGGGAAAACAGGATGAAAAAAAAAATTGTATGAAACAAGACCCCTACATTATACCTTATAAAAAATCAACTTAAAGTGGATCAAGGATCAAAATCTACAACCTGATATCATCAAATTACTAGAGGAGAACATTGGATAAACTCTGCAAGGAGTCAGGAACTCCATCAGTCTCCTGCATCAGTGGCAGGTACCCAAGCTCTTGGGTCATCTTCCATTGCCTTCCCAGGTGCATTAGTGGGGAGTTGGATGGGAAATGGAGCAGCTGGGATTCAAACTGGCATACATATGGGATGCCAGCATCACAGGCAGCCAACTTAAGTCACTGTACTACAACTCTGGCCCTACCTCTATCACTTTTTTTTTTTTTTAAAGATTTATTTATTTTTTTGAAAGGCAGAGTTACAGACAGAAAGGGAGAAACACAGAGAGATCTTCCATCCACTGGTTCACTCCACAAATGGCCACAATGGCTGGAGCTGAGCCGATCTGAAGCCAGGAGCCAGGAGCCTCATCCAGGTCTCCTATGTGGGTGCAGGGACCCAAACACTTGAGCCATTTCCACTGCTTTCCCAGGCCATTAGCATAGATCTGGATTGGAAGATTATTAGGATGTATTTATACATGTAACCTTACCTTTCCCCACAGAGGATTCTTAAGTGAAATTACTTCTTATAATGATATTTTCAGTTTACTTCTTCACAAATGTTTTCTGCCCCATTACTGTATAATGTTAGTAAACCCAAGACCCACTGGAGGTGTTTGGGTCATTGTTTATCTCCTAAAGTTTCACTGTGGAGCACTCTGAAAAGGACTTGCTCACTTTTGAGTACAGAAATGCTTGATGCAATTTTTTTATTTTTCATTTATTTTTTATTTTTTGACAGGCAGAGTGGACAGTGAGAGAGAGAGACAGAGAGAAAGGTCTTCCTTTGCCCTTGGTTCACCCTCCAATGGCCGCTGCAGCCAGCGCGTTGTGGCCGGCGCACCGCGCTGATCTGATGGCAGGAGCCAGGTGCTTCTCCTGGTCTCCCATGCAGGTGCAGGGCCCAAGCACTTGGGCCATCCTCCACTGCACTCCTGGGCCATAGCAGAGAGCTGGCCTGGAAGAGGGGCAACCGGGACAGGATCCAGTGCCCCGACCGGGACTAGAACCCGGTGTGCCGGCGCCGCAAGGCGGAGGATTAGCCTAGTGAGCCGCGGCGCCAGCCTTGATGCAATTTTTTAAAAAATTAAATTTATTTGAAAGGTACACACATAGACAGAGAGACAGAGATCTCCCATTCACTGGCTCACTCCCAAATGCCCACTGTTCTCTAGGATTGGCCAGACTGACGGCAGGAGCTGGAAACTGAGAACTCACTCCAGGTCAGCCACATGTGTAGCAGAGACCCTTCTGCCTAAGCCATCACTGCTACCTCCCAGAACACCCATTAGCAAGAAGCTGGAATAGGGTGTGGGGCTGCGACTGAAACCTAGGCACTATGAGATGAGATGTGGGAGTCCTAAGAAGCATCTTAACCTTACACCAAAACCTGCTTCACACAGTGCAATTTGAACTGCCATCCCTGATCAGGACACAGTAGGTTTTTCTAGGTATTTGCATGTCTTGCTGTTCATGGAACCTGAGATCAGCCTGCTACTAGTTGTGGAAGGGATTCCTGTCCATCCTTATCCTTTTTTTTTTTTTTTTTTAAGATTTACTTATTTATTTGAAAGTCAGAGTTACACAGGAGGGGTGGAGAGAGAGTAATCTTCCATCCTCTGGTTCACTCCCCAAATGACCGCAACAGCCGGAGCTGGGCTGATCCGAAGCCAGGAGCCAGGAGCTTCCTCTT